AAAGTTGACTGGCAAAACCATGGTGGTGTGTATGCCACTTGGGAAAGGGAAGATGATATGATGAAGAGATATCCTGAATTGTTCCCACTGAATCCTGTCTTCTTCCAAAATGAAGGTAATTCGAGTTTGGAGGACCAAACTCTTTATAAGGAGGGGAGACTGTGACAACTCTCACTACCGTTTACTGATAACACCACTGATTATTGCTAAACTGAGATTGATCATGATAAGTAATTGAATTGATTGAAATTCTGAGTTAATTGATTGAGTGTATTAGTTTAAACGCATGTCTATCTGTTTGACTATTAAATTATTTGTTCGTGTTTTATGTTTTAAACTGCAAATTGAAGGCCTTATCGGCGGCCAAATCCAGAATTGATTAATGTTTTATGCTACTTGGAATTTATGTGATTTTATGGTATTTTTAATTGAAATGTGATTTGGTATGATTAAATTGGATTAAATAGTGTTAAATCATAGAAGTTAGACTTATTCACCAAATTGCCATGATAGTGGGCCACTTATCAATTCATGTTTGAAGCCTATTACATTTTGATGCATCACTTGTTCTCTATTCTTGAGAGACCAAACGTGAGAGAGAACTAGAGTGTTGGAGACCTTGAGTTCAACTAGAAACCTTGCTTGAATTTAGAAGAATTGAAGAGAGAATTGGCAAATTGAGCCTCTAGACTTGTAATTGAGGAACCTAGGTAAGGATTTCATCCTCTCATTTGTGAATTGAAGTTAGTTCTTGCATGGTTCTTGGAAGATTAGAGTTTTGAAGTCTAGAATTGGTTTACAATGTTGAATTGAGAGCTAGATCATGCATGCATGCTCTTATATTGAGGTTTTGAATTTGTTTTCATGGAATTTGTTACATGCATGTCCATATCTTGATTTTGGATCATGAAATCATCTTGTTCTTGAGAAAATTGACTCTTTTGATCAAGTATTTAAAGCTTTAAAAACGTTTAAATTCTTGCATGTTGCATACACTTTATGTTCTTGAAGTTTTGTTTGAAAATGGGTTTAATTGACTCACCTTTAGGCCTTGATTTTACAAATTGAGCTTTGAATCATGTCATATTATGAGTTTGCAAGTGTTTTCCAGAAAATTAGCCCAAGAGGATCGAATTTGATGATTTAAAGTTGAGTTTTGAGCTTGAGGTTCAAATATGGAATTTCCAGATTTTGGACCCACGCTCGAGCGAGGAACTCCAGGCTCGAGCGTACACTCTGAATACATGAAGTCCGCTCGAGCGTAGGAAGTGACGCTCGAGCGTGAAATTCATGTATCCAGTACTTTGCATGTGTTTACAGTCCGCTCGAGTGAAAGAGTTCGCGTTCGAGCGAGGACTTGTGTCTCACGCTCGAGCGTGGATCGCCGCCAAGCGTGATTTTTGTGCATCCAGTATTTTTACTATAGCTTACAGTCCGCTCGAACGACGGGAGTCACGCTCGAGCGGAGCTCCTTTGTCAGCATGTCCGCTCGAGCGAGACCCCTATTTTCTGAAAATTCTGAAAAGTGTTTTAAAGTGTATCTTTGCATCCTTATTCCATCCTAGGCATTCCTAGGCCTAGTTTAAGGCATCTTAATAAGGATATTGATGTAGAACCACACCGAGGCAAATTAGGGATTAAGTTATTATTTCCCAACTGTGTAGTTTAGTGTGTGTTCATTCTGTTACTGTGTAGGGTTGGCATTCGAGGACGCTCTAGCTGCTTATAGCCCAGTGCTCTATGAGTAACTATATTGTAAAGATATGTTCAATTGAGATTATTTTCTGAACAAATGACTGTACTGCTTTATGAAATAACATTGTTTACTGAATGAATGTTTGTCCTATTTGTGAACTGTATTCGTGGCATCCATGGCAATTTACTGTTACTGCTACTGTTACAGAGATCTCTGTCGGTTCCCATGTTTAGAACCACTACTGTTTACTGATATGATGGCCATCATTGACTGCTCGGTCTGTTAAGACCTACTGTACTGTTTTGCTATTGGACCACATATGACTATTATAGTTTCTAAATGACTATTATGGCATGAATTATGAGCCACAAACTGAATGACTGATATACTGATAAATGACTGTTTTCAATACTGAAAGGACATTCATTCTTAACCTCTTTACGCATATGTTATTCACTGGGCTTTAGCTTACTGTTTATATATATATATATATGTAGGTGTCCAGGCACCGGATCGAAACTAGAGGCATGGGGTTTAAACTCCCTTTTTGTCAAGCCAACCAACGTGCCTCACTGGGAGGTTCCAAGTGCTGCCAAGCTAAGGCTGCTTCAGGGTGTTTTAGATTCCCCGTTTTCTGTATCTGTTTGTATCGACTGTATAGACTGTTACTGTACTGTTATGGTAGGGACTTGGTCCTTAACCTGTATGATTGTATATGAATGTATATGTACTGTTTATGTGGATATGTATGAAAAATCTTTTTGCATACAGACTGTCACAGCTCATTGGACATCTTTAATTATTGTTTTGGCTTCCGCCAACCCCTGTACTCTGTATTATTGTTATTACTGTTAAGCAGGCCTTCGGTAATCTCGGATTACTGACCGGTTACGGTGCTAAACCCATAAGGGCGGGTTTGGGTTGTGACACCTACCCATTTTTGAATACGTTCATTCCTAATTCTGTCATGTCTTGTCTAGTCTTGCCACATATCCACCTTAGCATCCCCATCTTAGCCACACTCATCTTATCTACACTTTGTTTCTTGGTTGCCCAACACTTTGTCCCATACAACATCGCTGGTCTAATAGCTGTTCTATAGAACTTATCTTTTAGTCTAGTAGATATTCGTTTATCGCAAAGTACCCCAAACGCACTTCTCCACTTACACCATTACGCCTTAATCCTATGGGCCACATCCACATCAATCTCTCCCGTTGTTGTGATAATCAACCCTAAATAACGAAAATGTTCACTTTTAGGCAGTTCTTGGTTTTCAATTTTTACTTATGCTCTACTTTCATTTGCTACTATTACTAAATTTACACTCCATGTACTCTATCTTAATTTTTCTTGTATGAAATCATTTAGATTCAAGAGTTTTTCTCCAAATCTCTAATTTTGTATTAACTCCTTTTCTAGTCTTGTCCACTAACATGATATCATAGAAAAAAATTTGAACAGATAAGTCAATAGATAAATTAAGGGATAAAAAAAACTTCTCACCAAACTATTTCACAAAAGATGAATTTATCATTAATAAAAAAATATTCACTGGATCTAATGCCTTAGACACACTTCAAATTGAATTTATCACTAATTTTCTCAATAATATAACTCATATTTTGTGAACTAAAAATATAATGTCCTTTATAATTTTTTATTTATTGAGAGTATCGCACATAGAATTTTAAATTTATTTTAATAGTGTTTTGTTTTTGTTTAATGAAATCCGTTGTAAGCTTACCGGAAAAAGAAGTAAATTACAAATATACATTTTAAAATTTGATTAAAATACGAATCGTCTTATGTGGTTCTGAAAATTCCATTCTACCCCTTGAGATTTATGATTTCATAACAAATCGTCGTTTTTATTAATAAATTATCAGGTCAATTAACAATTTTTAATGATATTATAAATATATTTCAATTAATAATTTAAATAATTTTATTATTGTATAAGAGAGTAATTATAAATTTCAATCTTTTAGTTAATTTTGTTAAATAAAAAATTCTAATAAGGGATATTAATAATTTTGTAAATTATAAGGAATAATTTGTACTTTAAACAAATTTTAAAGAGTATATTTGTAATTTATAACAAAAAAAAAAGAAAAAAAAAAGAAAAGAAAAGAAGAAAAAGAGAGAAAACCAAGTCAAGGAGCGTCATTCTGAAGAGTAAAAACAGTGTAACGGTGATAGCAAGTTAATGATGTCACCGACGAATGATAAATTCTAATAATATTTTTAAATGTAATGTTAGGGATACTAAAGACTCTATTTGGTGGAGTTTGGAATTCCAGGCTTTGTTTTGGACATCGGATTTGTTTACGGTTTTTAAAACTTAATTTCACACTCACTTGGTAGAAATTTTTGGGCTAACTGGACGTCTCACCGGTCGTTCAACCGATTGATCAGAACAGTATATTTTTTTTTTGTAATTTACACATGTTAATTTTTATATATTCAATAAAAAATAATTTTTAAATTTTTAAAAAATTTTATGGATTTTGAATAGAATTTTAAATTATGTGTTTGGTTATGAAAAACTCATTTACTAAACAAATTTTTCACACTCAAATCATAATTCAAAAACTCACAAACTCAAAATAAAATTATATTCTCAAATCATATTTAGAAAACTTTACCAAACGTAATCTAAATTTTCTACCAAACAAATTTCACATTAGTGTGAGATTCGCAATTTTATAAACCCCACACTTATGTAAAATATTTAATCATTTATTTAATAAAAAATTTAGAACCTATAATATTTTTCTATTTTTAATGACTCATGATAATATCTTATCGGATAGTTTAATATCATGGTCTGTCATATTGCTTTTAATTTATTTTATTTTAAAATTTTTTGGGTATGTTTGGTTTGTGTTTGAGAGATGTGTTTTAGAGATAAAAAATACGAAAAGTTATTTGGTTTGATTTTTTTCAAAAGATATTTTGAAAAATTATTTTGAGAGAAAGTTTTGGAAAAAGTGATTGATTTGATGTGTGTGTGAGAGAGATTTGTTTGAAAAACTTGTTTGGTTTACAAGTTTTGAGAAATTTTTTTAGAAAAATTTGTTTGATTTGATTACTTTTAAAAACTTATTTATAGAAAAAATTTTCCAAATTTTTTTCAGAAATACAAACCAAACGAACCCTTTATATCTGGATTCACAGTGACATGGCACCGTCAAAGCTAGTTAATTATGAAAATACATAAATAAATATATACATATATATATATATTGATAAACACGTCATATAGATTTGTCTTGCCTTTAAAACCCCCTTGAAGACTTTGAACGTGCTCTGTTCTCGTCTCTCGCCATTTCCATAACTTTGATTTTTACAACTGTGCTGTGCTGTTCTGTTCTGTTCTCTCTGAATATATATATATATATAGAGAGAGAGAGAGGGAGAGAGAAGGAGAGAGTAAAAAAGATGGGGATTCAAAAGGTGAAAGGATCGCTGGAAGATCTGATAGAGAAGGCAGGTGGTTGCGCCGTCGTAGACGGCGGTTTCGCCACCCAGCTTGAGAAACACGGCGCCACCATCAACGATTCTCTTTGGAGTTCCATTTGCTTGATCAACGACCCTGATCTCATCAAACGAGTCTCTCTCTCTCTCTCTCTCTCTAACCTCATACATATATGTATATGCATTCATTCTGTTTCTTCAAATTTGTTCTTGTTTCATTTGTTATTTTCTGGGTATTGATTTATAAAAGTTAATTACACCAAGCTCGGTAAACTATTAACAAATTTCACTTTATCCTTCATCTATCAACTTGTACATTTTGACCTTTTCAATTAGAAACATGTATCACTTCTACCTTCCAGAGCACCTCAATGATGGAGCATTTGTACGAATTTTATAGTTGATGATCAATATGTACGGGTTCATAGATGAGGGAATACGTTGATATTTATTGATAATTGAGAGGTTTTGGTGTGTAATTAACTCAGTTATAAATTATATACGAGTCCTATAGTGGCAGGACTTGAACATGTATGTATAGTTTTTAAAATAGCTATAAGATATTACACAATGGAATGATTTGAAACCTTCTGAATATGTTGAATTGTGTATATAATAGGTTCATTTGGAATATTTGGAAGCTGGTGCAGACATCTTGGTAACTTCATCTTATCAGGTTTGCAGTCCATTCCACCAAAAGCCATGAATCTATTTTTTTATTATTATTTTAATTTTATGTTTTTATTCATTATATCTTGCAACAAACAATGCTGTTCTTATTTGATTTGGGTAAATATAAGTTGTGTAAAAAAATTTGGGAAATGTAGCACTAAAGTTGTTATGGAAAATTAATTGACAAAATTGTTAATTTCCATTATGTCAAAGATATGGATTTCGAAAATTTAATACCAGCTACATCATGTTCAGAGAAAATGTTATTTGATCATTTCCAATTTCTTCCAGTATAAATTGGTGAAAAATTTCTAAACAGAGGAGCAGATTTTATGAGGAAAGATTATACAAAAATAGAAGATGACTTCAAAAGGAGCCCAAAATAATATGTTTTAAGACCCAATTACCAAAATCATATTGTTAGAGTTATATATTACTGTCCATGAATATAATATGATTCCAATACCCCAAATTAATATGTTTTAAGACCCAATTACCAAAATTATATTGTTAAGAGTTATGCATTACTGTCAATTCATGTTCATGAATATAATATGATTTCAATACCAATTTTGAAATCGCTACATCTAATTTGTGTGTTTCTATAGGCTACCCTTCCCGGATTCCTATCCAAAGGGCTGTCCATTGAAGAAGGAGAATCGTTACTGAAAAAGAGCGTCAAACTAGCTGTTGAAGCACGTGATAAGTTTTGGAATGACAAGAAAAGAATTTCCGGACATAGCTATAACAGGGCTTTGGTTGCAGCCTCCATTGGAAGCTATGGAGCTTATCTTGCCGATGGTTCAGAGTACAGGTATACACTAGAATTTTGCCATTATCTCCAGAATATATGTAGTAGATCACTTGTGTCATCATCAATAATCTTTATTCTTTGTGGTTTGGTTAGAAATATTTTGCTTTGTACACTCAAACAAGTAACTTCTTTTGCATTCAGTGGGTGTTATGGACCTAATGTGGATTTGGATAAGTTGAAGGATTTTCATCGACGTAGATTGCAAGTTCTTGTCGAAGCAGGTCCAGATTTGCTTGCCTTTGAGACCATACCCAATAAACTAGAAGCTCAGGTATGCTCTTCCATCAATTCTAGTTGTAAGTGCTCTCTGATTAGGATCCTTTCTTGAGTTTGACATCTTGATTTTTTGTTGATTAATGAAAGTGTTTTTTATGCTAAAGATAATATTCGCAGGGCTGTGCTTTTTAAAGTAGACAGCTAGATTTGTGCTCGTGTTACTTATCAGAAATTCTACTCTTCACCATGGCCAGCACTCTTCGAATCAATCCTATAAAAAAAGACGTAGTCTTTTTACCTGAACTTGCTTTAGTAGATCTTGCCCTTTTGCTTTCTCACTGTCTTCTCTTGTGGAATAGCCTAATGTTGTGTCTGGATCATGACTTTGTAGGAAAAAAAAAAAATTATATTTCATACACTTTTCCTACCTTTTTCTTTTCTTTTCACATATCCAAGGTCTAAATTAAGTCTAAAAGTGATCACATAAATTGAGAACAGTGTTGTAATTAAGGATCCAATAAAGGGTACTTTAGGGTGATTGAGATTATTCAGTGGTGTGTAGAACTTAACAACAATAGATAGTTATATATTAGAAAACTTCAGATGATAAACTGTATATCTTATTTTATTACAAATAATTTAAAACAACTCCAACAAGGAGGAGGACAGTGCATGTGTCTTGAGATTAACAGTGACACACGACAATGCTAACTGGCTATGAACAATCAACATGTGTGGAGTTTGACTTCTTATTCTACTTTGATAGCAATTCAAAATCTCAAAAATATACAAATTGCAGGCATGTGTTGAGTTGCTTGAGGAAGAAAACATCCAAATCCCATCTTGGATCTGTTTCAGCTCTGTAGACGGTGAAAATGCACCGTCAGGAGAGAGCTTCAAGGAATGCCTTGACATCATAAATTATAGCAACAAAGTATCAGCCGTTGGAATAAATTGTGCACCTCCCCATTTTGTTCAAGTTCTTGTTCAGAAATTTAAGGAGGTAATAATTTGCTAACAAATTTCGTATTTAACAAATAACTAACAATAAAATTGACAAATTTCTTTTTTCTTTGATCATGTGTCCTTTCTTCTGAATACCCCAACGTTGTAGTGATCTGAACTGCATTTTTTTTTTCCCCTTGACTTATAGTTAACTGGAAAGGTAATAGTTGTTTATCCGAATAGCGGTGAAGTATGGGATGGCAGGGCTAAGAGATGGCTGGTGAGTCTATGTTGTTTCCAATTCTTTGCAATTTGCGTATACAACAATATTAATCATCATCCTTTTTTGAACAAAACTCTCTCTAAACGAATATTGTCGCATTTAGTCAATTAACAGACTTCAAATCATGTTTTGGGTTAACAGCCGTCGAAGTGTTTTGATGATGACAAGTTCAAGTTGTTTGCAACAAGATGGCGTGATTCAGGAGCTAAACTCATTGGTGGATGTTGTCGAACTACACCTTCCACCATTCGAGCCATTTCAAAGGTTTTAAAAGGACCAGGTCTCTGATTTCGTTGTTTTACAAATAACTGTTCTTTTAGTCCATCTCCAATTAATATTTATTGAAGTTCACATATCAAGTTTATTAGTGTCCTTTTTTCTTTTTTTTCTTTTTTTTTGCCCTTTAGAGGCAGAGCTGAAAATCATTTACCAGTCAGTCTGTGTGTGTGTGTGAGTTCTGTTAGTTTTAAAGTTGATCAGAATCAATCAAAAGATGAAGACATTCTTCACCATGTTGAGTAAATTGTTGAGCATTCCCAAGTGTTTGGATATTGGATTTGAGTAAGATTTATGTTAGGAAAAAAAGGAGAGGAATGTTTATCAAATATAAACTAACTTTTTCACATTTTCCTAATTGTTTCTCTACCCAAAAAGAGTCTTAGTTGCTACTTGGTGTCAAAAATTTCAAGAATGGAAGAAGCAATTTTACTATTTTTTGAGTTATGTGACTCTTAAATATGAGTAATTATTTAGTAGTCCGTAATATGGGGCAATACTAGCGTACTTTTGTCAAGAGACAATGGATAACTCTCTTAATGTGTTTTATGATTTTTTATTTATCAAAAGCAATGCAATATAACATTTCAAAATAACCTACATAATTTTGGAAAAATTGAAAATAGATGAAACAATCCCAAAATAATAGCACTATAGATGAGAATATTTTTTGGAACGACTTTGACACTGGAGATACTTGCACCAAGCATGGAAATTGAATTGCACCAAGCATGTGAATAGATTTGCATTATACACACAAGAGACTTACATTAATGGTGAATGTTATAATTTCATTGATAATACATATTATTTTTAGTGACCAAATGTGAGAATGAATAATCATTTTATTACACCTTAATATATTGAACCAATCAAATAGAGCAAAGTTAGAATAAAAATGAAATAGAGTAGAATGATTATTTCTCAATTTTCTTTTCGAATGATCATTCTCTTATCATGAAAAATGATGATTCTATTAGTAATATAATTTTTATTATTTTTTAATAAACTAAATGTAAGAACAAACGAGGAATTTTTATTGATAAATCCCATTTAGAAGTATTCTAACCCAAGAAATCCGTGAAAGAATTTTTTAATCTACTTAGTCTCATGTATTTATACTTTTATTCTATAAAGTCTTTTTTTCTTAATTTACACTATTTTCCTAAACTCTTATGTCCTTATATTTAATATTGATATTTAATGTTGGAGAAGGAGAGAGAATGGAAATGACCAATGTATAAAAAATTCATACACAAATTAAATAACATTGATGTTATTTATTATTTTATATTATTATATAATGTGAATATATTTTAAATTGACAACACATTAAAAATAATGTGAACATTCTCTCATCTAATGTGAATATATTTTTAATTAACAACACATTAAAATAATGTGAACATTCCCTGTCACCTGATATAAACGTTCACAATACCTTTTCGAAAAATTTTCTTTCATCTAATATAGTGATGTGAACGTTTACAACATGTGAACCTTCTTATTTTTAATTGACAACACATTAAAAATAACGTTCTTTATATCTTTAATTGACAACACATTCTTATTCACAACATGTAGTGATGTGAACGTTCACAACATGTAAACATTCTCTCTCATCTAATGTAGTGATATGAACGTTCACATTCGTATGTTTTAGTATGTATATTCACATCATGTAATTGACAACACAATGTCAAAACTTAATTTCAAATTAATGTGAATATAATGGTGTGAATATTCAGTTCAATTACATGATTTGAATATTCACATCATATAATTAACAACACAATGGCAAAAATTCATTTCAAATTATTATGAATATGATGATGTGAATATTCATTTTAATTACATGATGACAACACAATGACAAAAATTCATTTCAAATTAATATATATATATATATATATATAATGACAATCAACATCCTCATGCATGCGAACTATCAAAACATAATGATAGTCAATATTAAATATCAACATTAATAGGGGGACATGAGAGATTGAGAGTATTTTGGTCTTTTCATTTAAAATAGATTCTAATGGAATAGTAAAAAAAATATTGATTAGATGGAATAAAACTTTTAAAAAGAAAATTTATCAAAAAGACTCCCAATAAACAATATACTGGAATGATTATTTTATTTCAATTAACCAAACACTATCTTATGTTGTTTGGATTTTGAATTTGTGAAGAGAAAAAAAATGCAGAGTTTTATGAATGATTTTCCCCACGCCCCCCCCAAAAAGGCAATAAAAGCAAACTTTATACACATCACGGGATTTAGGCTCGTAATGCACAATTTCAAAATTTTATGGCAATTTGAAGAAAAAAAAAAAAAAAAAAAAAAAAAAAAAAAAAAAAAAAAAAAAAAACCATTGTTAAAACCACATGACTTTTTGATGTCCACGAAAAATGTTCACTACTGCAAATGATCCTGTAGAAGATTTTGAGAAAACTATCCCCAAAAATTGTTCAAATGTGTAGTTGTTTGCATAAAAGATGTTCAAAACTACAATTTGCATCAATATGACTTAGGAGAGACATTGTTGCAATTGAACTAAATCCAGGGATAATTTGCTCCAATCAATCTTTTAAAAGAGCCAATTGTACTTTTGGAATGTTTTCAGGGAGCATTTTGCTCCAGTTGATATTTTAAATCATGTTTGGATAAAATTTTGAGGAAATTGGGGGAAAAAACTGAAGAAACTGATCCAAGCACGACCTTTAAGGAGCCAAGTGAATTTTTGTGCATCTATTAGAGGCAAATATTATCAAAAGACAGATTACTATTTCACAAACTACATATTGAGTCAGAGCAAACAGTGCCTTACAGCTACCTCATGACCATGACAACGATAGGTGAGAGGTGAGGTGAGGTGTCAATCAATTACAAAAGAAAAAGAAAAAGAAAAACTGATGGCCAAACTTCCTACCAACTAAAACTTGACCTAATGGTTTTTACCAACAAGATGGAACAAGCCTTCAAAAGTTGCTTCTCACCATTGCCTAAGGTTACAAATCCAAAAGAGCCTACATGTTTTTTAGATGAATGAAGGACATCTTCATCAGAAAGCTAGAAATGTCAAAATTTAGGAGTTGTTTGGAATGTTCTAAATAAGTATATTTTTTGACTTTTTATAAAAAGATGTGTAGAAAAATAGAAAGGAGATATTGATTGATGTGACTCCAAAAAGATAAAAAGATAAAAAAAATATAAACTTATTTAGTCTTCCCAAACTTGACCTTAATGGCACAGCCCAACTTTGACATCAAAGCTAAAGTAATAGACACAAACCAGAGGAATTCGGCGCAATTGCTGAACCACCAAAAAACGTGCACTGTGGTGTGGTTATAACTCTGTCTGGGCAACATCCAGTAGCGCTAAAGTACCAGACTAATGTAACCCTAAGTTTAGTCCATGCCACAATACCAAAATTATCTTCCCTCTAAACCATGGTCTCCAACTCCAAGCGCTCTCCTCCAGTGTTGCCTTCATGACCATCCTCTCAATTTTCATCTCCAACCACCTCTTTCATGCAGGTAATATGGCAACCGTTTCCAATGCTGACAAGTGAAACCTCTAATGATAACCACACTCCGTATTTCTTGCATAGTCAAGTAGGATATAAATGCAGCGGGCAACCATAAACTGGTGTTCGGTGGGACTCACATTTCTGTCATATGGATGCAACAAAACAGGCCAGGATATCGTATCTGTTAAGACTGCAAATCACACGAAAATAGGGTCATCAAATCCTAGGAGGTGTGGTATTGATAATCACATTCTGTGGGACTACTTATCCTACGCTAATCCTAAGGGATATATATGATCCCCTAACAATTAGTCTGGGCAATCAAACATGACCTCAGAGCATAAACATGCGTTGGAATGACCCACATGCCACTTAGAAATCAAGTAGTTGCCAACACCCGAAGGCCCATGTACAAGGCATCCACATTCACAGGCAATCTAGCAAGATAATGGTCAAGAACAATTTCCAGCTACAACAGCATAACAAACTACCAAGCGCATCGATTGCTAGACAACTAACAAAGTTCATTACCCATATCAATCAATGAGGATAAATGGCATTATAAGCATATATGTTAACCACAATTTTCCTTCGTAAAACCTGCGATTTTCAAGGCCACAGTTACCACCCAAAGTTTTGCACAAATTCAACAACCAAGAAATACCATTCTAATAAAGCAGAATTGATTTTAGTCGAAAGGTTAAAGAATGCATTCTGAAGTCGCAAAGTACAACGGTAAACACTGTACCAAGGTGAAATTTACTAAAGCAGTTGCCAAGAAACACAAATCCAACCACCACAGCATCTCTACATCAGATCAACGTCGGGGAGGTCCACGCTTATCATACGTTCCCCAACCTCCACCACCATACATATCACCATAGGCACTGCCTGCATATCTCATTTCAGGGCTTCCACTGAACATTCCATAACCCCCAGGACCTATACAAAAGATAAATCTTCAGTACACCAACTTCTTTTCCAGAGGTTCAGGCATTACAATCTCCAGACAATGCAGGCTGCTCCTAATAAAAAAGTGTGTGTGTGTGTGTGTGTGTTAGAAACAGAGAGAGAGAACGAGAGAGAGAGTTGTTTACCAAGTCCACGAGCTCCTCTCTCTACAGTCATTTGCTCTGCTCGTAGCTTTTCTATTTCCCGAGCCATGGAAACAAGGTTTTTCTCCATAGCTTGCTTTTGTTCCACCTGTTCCTCATTTGCTTTCTTCTCATATTCAAAAGCTCTCCTAGAAATATTGTGCATAGTCGGAGAAAACAAATCAAAGCATTCAGTGAAAACCTAGTAAATCTAACAACTCATGTCAGTGTTCCTAGTATGTGCAACCCACTTCCTAAAAATATAAAGGGTGAAGAAAACATAAACAATAAAACTTAACTCAGACACTATGATCAATTCAGGAATTTAACTTCGAACCTGGTTTCTAATAGCTGTTTGTGCAGCCCATCAATATCAGCTTTCAGATCATTTAGCTGCTGATTCTCAGTTTTCAATCGAGAAATGTCCTTTGTGAGAGTTTGAACTTGGCCTGACAAATCCTGCCGTAAAGCATTTAATTTCTGTGCTTCGGCCCTTAACTGCATAACCTCTGTCCTCAGAGGCTCAACAGCATGAAGCTCAGCTTCTAGCTTCAATCCCCTCTCAATCAACTCCCTAGCCTGTACTTCTCTGTCAGCACGAAGTTGGGGAATGACATGACCTAATCTACGAATCTCGTCCTTTGTGGCTTCCAATTCCCTCTGAAGCATCACGTTTTCATCAACTACATGTCTATTCTCGGCAAGAATCTTCTGAATATCTCTATGTTGGATTTCGAGCTCCTCTTCCATTGCAGCAGGGTGAAGAGGAAGGGGTCCTGGTCCTCGATGCAGTACAGGCTGGGGTCCATCACGAAAACCTCGGAAACCCTCAGGCTGGCGAGGTAAACGGTTTCTCCCTGCCATACTCAAGATCCTGCAGAGAGATTAGATTGTAGTTTCCTGTGAGTGAAAGTATAGAGTTCAACATACTGTTTGGCTGTGCAATGAATGAAAAAATCTGTCTTCATCACAGGAAAAAAATCCTCAATTAGATTTTGATCAAGAATGGCATAGAAGCTTCCTCGCTATGAAGCACATATGCTTCTAACAGGGAGTTGTATCCATATCACCCTAGATACTCGCAGATACGTATCTGATATTTCCTAAATGTAATCGATACTTGATATTTAATTTTAAGAAGTATCGGATACTTCTTGAACACTCCAAGTCACATATCCAAATTATTATGAAATTGAGATTGCAATAATTTTTGCATAGTATTGAAGTATAAGAGTACATACAATAATTGTTTTTCAATATTTTTTTTGTTTCTTACCAAAGAATAAAATAGTGAGATTAAAGTAGTATGTTACTTTGAAGTATAAGAGTACATACAATAATTGTTTTTCAATATTTTTTTTTTTTTTGTTTCTTACCAAAGAATAAAATAGTGAGATTAAAGTAGTATGTTACTTTTTTCAGATTTATCAAAATAATGTATCTCCTCGGGAAAAAAAAATGAAGAAGAAGAAGAGTAAACGGACTATTCTTTGAGTTCGTGTATAATATGATATTATAAATTATAAATTTTTTCAACGTATCACAGTCATACCCATATCGTATTTTTGTAGATTTTGTTGTATTGCCGTATTGGTACCATATCGTATCCATATTCTGTATCAGTATTCATGCTTAATTAATTTCCATGCTTCTCACTGCCAGTAATGGAACAAAAATCCGTCTGTCGGACTTGATTCGATTTCCATCGCACAACCAAAATCACAGTTAGCACAGCAACAAAACTTGAAATCACCAGTAGAACCTAAAACCCCTCTTTGGCCCACAAAGTAAGAAGGTTTTGTTAAAAAACTCTTAGAATCGTGGTGGAACCATTACGAACCTCAATATTGAAAACCATATCTTCCACCATGAAGTCAATTAAAATTGTCTATAAACTACATCCCCTATAAGAAGATTATTCAACATTCACAATCCACAAAATTTGCCAGAAATCTCTTTTAATTATTGCTAATGCCAGATAAAATTTTATAATTCTTGAATGCCAATTGGATCAAAATAACTGGTACAATATCAAGAATCATATGACTTGATATGCATGTTCAACTATTATGCAATCCACCAACCAAATCAAACCCATTTATACAAGAGAAAAAATAAAATTAAACTAGTACAAGAAGTTCGTTCTGATTCCTCTTCATTACTCCAACACTTCATCCCAAATCAAGTTGGCCTAAAAAGAACCCAAGTCAACATCAATTGGTTCTCCATACTAACTTGTTTGGACAATCCAAACCTTCCCTTCCCTTCCATTCTAACTTCTTATTTTTCCTCCAGTCAAACTCCAAGTTCAAGCATGCTTCAGACTTGTCATCCTTCTTATTTTCACCACAGACAAATTGTGAAACGACTATATGCATTCACTTTTTAATTAGTTTGTTTGACAGCATGCAATTGATATTCTAAAATGTGAGAACATACTTGTTCTCCTCTAGAAACATTAAAAGAGGACACCACATTACAAAACTAATTCTAAGGTTTAAATTGCATAAAGGCATAGCAAACAACAAAATGTCACAACAGAGGCTACAACTGAAAGAGCTATTGACATCAGCCCAAAAGTTTCTACAAGCCCAGCATATAAATAGTTCACTTCTCATAGCAATTCTATCAGCCTGGCTAGTTTTGAGAGCCAAACCAAATAGATAATCTTGGAAATGCAAAATTCGCCTGCCTACAATTCATGTCATTACTACTGAACTACATGCTATTTGCAACAGAGCATATCCCATGAAGGTGTGAAATAACAGACGAAGTAAAAACATCTCAAAATTTTCTATGCTTTTAAATTAGAATTCTGGAAATAAGCTCAATAGAAAATTTTGACACTCCATTAATCGCCACCCCAAATTTCTTTCACCTTTACTCTTATCCTTGTAATGCTTTTTAACTTTAACAAACCCCTGTTTATTTTTATATCATGTCTAGCATTTGATGCACGTGAGCAAACCTTCAATTTCTTTTTATTTTAAATCTATTCTTCTCCTTTTTTTTTTTTTATGTTCCACAATGAGGAAAGGACAAGTTAATGTTCATACACCGCGTACTCTATGATATCATGCTATAAAATGATATGTATCTTCTAATCTCTTTTAGTGAATCACAATATAGTAGATTATGTACAATAGCATGAAAAGTACAATATTTAAGCATCTTGACAGTTTTGGCATTTTTAAGAAGGATCATTTTTGGCCTTCAAATAAAATGATTATTAAATATCAATTTACAATAACCTTATGATTAAATGATTACAAAAAACAAAAATGGTATAAAAATAAAGCGTCACAAGAGATTTTAATACTTATTTAGCCAAAAACAAGTCCCAAATATATTCAGCTCAAAGTTGGTCATAGGAAAAATCTTTGAACTATTCAACTACATATTAGGCCGTAATCTTGTTAAAATTTAAGCCATGATGCCATTTTCTTACCAAGTCAACCCTAAATTGTCCACCCTCGCTCTTATCGCCGTAGTAACTTTAGCTTTATTCAATCCACTCTTCCTCATTACCATCATTGTCAACTTCCAGGCACAAGTGCAAGCAATCTGACTCACCAACAGGGGAAAATAATCTCCCAGACACATGTGAATGCCCTTACCCATACACGCAAGGTAAAGTCAAGTTGGTACCGAGAAAAATATTTTAGATGATCCTTTCTACATCTAACCTGTAGTTGGCTTTACTCATCATAACTATTCACAAACTGGTAGTTTTTATCCCATCTTTTCCTATAATGACACTTCCATTTCGAGTCTTAAAAGTTGGCAACTTGCATTTCATATGCTCTGAATGCCTAACATCATAAATCAAAAGAATGGCTAGCCTTATATAACTCCTCTAATTAGATTTATATCACAACCATAGATCAGTCAGATCGACTATCACCATTGCATCTTCATTCCGTGCATAACATCCTTGTGATCTCCTATTCTTTTTCTTTTTTTTTTTACTGTTTTTCTATTTATTTTTTTTTTTTCTCCAGGTCTCTCTTTTATTGTTAAAATGGTTGGACAATATGACAACAAAAACTTTTGGGTGTCCGAAAAAATAACTTCTTTCTTTTCTTCTCCTTTTAAATTCTCCAAGTAACCACGTTTCTTCTCTTTCTGAAATCATTTACCCTTATTTGGCTAATGTGGAAGACAAAGAGAAGAAAATATGAGGGGGAAACAACATTTAGCACTAATGGCCTAATAGTTTGAACATTATCATTTTGGGAGGAGGTGTGGAACACGTAAAACTTGAGCAAAGCAACCCTTTCACACATTCAACAAAGATTTGTCCCAATCATTCTATAATTCACCTCTCTCCTCTTCATCCACGATCTACATGGCTAAACTTCCTCCTTCAAAATCTCGTATCTTATTCTTCAAGATATGTTTCAAGATAACATTAAAAACCAATCACTATGCTTGGTTGCGTTTTTTTGAATTTTTTTTTTGAAAAAATGATTTGAAAACTCTTTTTGAAAAAAAAATCATTGTTTGGTTTTCCAAAAAATACATCATTACAATTTCAAATTTCCCTCCAAGTTAAGGAGAGAGACAATAAAAAATAAACACAAATTTCACATCAACAAATACTCTCATCTACATTATATATATATATAATATATATATGTACATGGTCGGTTTGATGAAAACATAATGTGGCATGTACCCATTAAAAAAATCGTAATTTTGGCAAATTTATGTACACATTTTCGGAATAACCAAATTAAAATACAAATTTGCAGAAAACGTAAATTTATACAAATTTCGAAAAGAACGTTAATTTATACAAGTTTCCAATAAACATAAATTTATGTACAAAATTTCGGAAACCGTAATTGAATAAAAACGCCCAATTATTTAAAATTGGCATTAAAAAAAATATGTGAATCGATGTTTAAATTTATTTAGAAAATCATAAATTTTACAAAATTGTATATTTATGTTTAAATTTATTTTCAAAATCGTTGAATTATGTTCAAATTTAAATAAATAGTCAAATTGATAAAAAAAAATTTGGGCTGTCTGTGTGAATAATTAAAAAAAAAAAAATTGTACCTATACGTACCATGGTCAACCCGTGGCTGATAGAGGGTGAGAAGCAAATTAGGGAAAAAAAGAAACAAGCAAAGGCTCTTCACATCACGTGAGGAGTACACAAGTACAGTGTACTAATGCCTAGGCTCTTAGAATCAAATCCGGAAATTTTTTTTCGAAAACGGGATTGATTTTTCAAAATAACCAAACAGGCTGTATAAAATTTTCAAAAAAATGTGTTCAAAAAACCATAACCAAACACAGTGAATAGTATGTTGACGTCCTTAACACTAATTTTCAAATCTGTGGTGAGATTATGGATGTTCAAAATCAAGAGAATGGTGGCTTGCACTTGCAAAACCCTCATTGTACATGATATGACCTAATCATTGAGGTGAGAGAAATTTTCTATCTATTCATATATCATTTTATAGATATAATCTTCCAATGGGAGACCAAGAAACCATTTCTTGTTTTATCCTTCTCCACCTCCACCTCCACCTCCTTGCTTCTTCTCCTTCTTTACGATACCCTCATTTGCATATTCCATTTTGGATATGTTAAGAATCGAGCTAAATTCAAGCACACCTCTAGGACAACTGAGTTGCACCCGAACTCCTTAAAGCTCGGCACTGTTTGGTTCATTTGTATGCCAGCATCTCATATCTCATTACCTCCACAATCCTTTAATTAGGCCTACAATTGCTTGTTTTCACTTTTGAATAGAACAGTTCATGCAAAAATGCTCATAAATGTTAGTAAATCAAACTCTACGATTTACTTTGTGAGTGTCTGCGAAATTGCTATTTTAGTAGGTTATTTTAATTTTTGACTATTTTAGTAGGCTAAAATTTTTATTTTTAGAAAAATAGTTGGATTTTTTTTTAATTGGATGTAATGTTTATGAGAGAAAAAGTGAAATGATTATGGGTTTGATGTGACATTTTATCTTATAGGTTATTTTAGCTTATTTTGTCATTTTGTGAATTTTAGTCAAAAAAAAAAAAAAAGCCAAAAAAAACCTTTACCAAACACCCGTCTAATATTTTATTATAGGACCGTTTCATAAGCAGAAGAATAAGAAGCCAGGTTAAGCTTCACTGGTTCAACCTTTGGATTGACTAGAATTAAATCATAAATCTGTTAAAAATAATTAGTAAAAATTAAACAAAAGTTACGTAAACCAGTATTTTTTCCCCCCATTTCATCAGTTTATGAAAATTTTCCATTGGCTAATTTGGCTTATCCATAAAATGCACTTAAGAGTGTTCATAATTTTTGCTTATTATACCCAAAAAAATAAAAAAAAGAAGCTCCAAACACGTAGAACGCCTTAATAGTAAAGCAAAGAAAGACACAATCGCTACTTTCTAATTCAGAATAACCAAACCCAGAAATCAAAAGGAATCAAAAAAATTATCCTTACAGCTACTTATAACATGAAAAATATTTACAAAGATGCAAAGGAACAGAGATCAAGATTATCAATACATACAATAATATATCAAAATACGTACAAATAAATCGCAATACATATACATAAACAGAAACAGAGAGAGGGGAAGAGATAAGAGAGACCTGGCGAAGAGAAAATGATCGTTTAGCAAATGAACTGGATTCAAAATTGCAGTTTTTTTGGCTTCGAATTCTCACTAAACTACTCAACTCTTTCAAACCCTAGAATTACCTTTCTTATTTTACAGGTGAAAATTATATAATGGGGACAATAAAATCGGTTCAGTATTTAGCTCACTGAGTCGGACCGGCCAGCGCGGTTCGAACAAATGTTACACCCTGTTCCAGAACCAGAACGGTTTAAACGAGTTGTGATTTGTGACGATGAATAGAGCGGGCCGGCCAGGTCAAGTTTGGACGGAACTTGTGTATTGTATAATTAAAATTAGGATGTATAACAAAAATTGAAAAAATCGATTATATCAATTGAATCAGATTAAATCGGTTGTATTTAGCTTATTTTTTAAATAAGAATTAGTTTGTGTGATTTTTAAATTTGATTTTTATCAATTTTTAATTGGATATCGATTCAAACACTTTATATACCGAATTAAATCGAGATTGACTGTTTTAATATATTATATTTAATCTAATAATATAATGATATTAATAAAGGTGCATTACAAATACCCCCTCTGAAATTTGATTAAAATACGAATTGCTCTTGTGAATCTAAAAATTACATTTCATCTCTTGAGGATTCTAATTTCATAATAAATTGCTCATTTTATTAATAAATTATCAAGTCTATTAATAGTTTTAATGATATTAGAAATATGTTTCAATTAATAATTTAGGTAATTTTATTATTGTATAGGAGAGTAATTATGAATTTTATTTTTTCAGTTGATTCTGTTAAATAAATTTTTTTGACAAAGGGGTATTTATAATTTTCCAAATCATAGGGGTAATATGTAATTTAAGCAAATCTCATATAGTATATTTGTAATTTACCCTATTAATAAGTATAATAAATTATTAACCTTAATTAATTAATCTTAGGGTAAATTACATTGACGCCCCCTGAGATTTATGTTTATTACAGTTCCTCCCTCATATTTTGGAAATTACATTCCTCTTTTTGAGGTTTAAAGTTTCATTACAGATTGACCCCTGAGGTTTAAAATTTCATAACAGTTCCCCCCTCACCATAATGATCATCATACATAAAATTAAATTAACAAGGGGGTCAATTTAATTTTTCAAATATGAGGTGAACTGTAATAAATATAAATCTCAGGAGGTATCAATGTAATTTGCCATTAATCTTATTATATTTATAACCTAAGTTTATAAACTCTTATTATATATAATCTTAATTTTAACTCAATATTTTTGAGATCTTGAATTTCGTTTGGCAAGTGACTGTTTTAGCCTAAAAGTAAAAAAGTTACTAAAAAAATCAAAAAGTCAACAACTTATACAAAAAAGTCAAAGATTCATTTTTTTTTCTATTTTTGCACATCTTTTCGTAAAAAGTCAAAAAGTCATCCCAAACATACTAGTTTTTTTTTTACCTCATATTTTAGTCAAAAAGCCAAAAAGTTACTAAAATAGCATGTTCCCAAACGAGGCTTTAGTATTTTTTAACTTTTTTGTGTTTTTATTTTTGTTAATTTAGGAATTGAAAAGTATTTATGATGTAGAATAAGTAGCCAAAAACTTCTTGTAACAATTGGACCGACAAAAGGCAAGAAAGTTGTAGAACAAAATTCTATAATTTTTATATTTCTTAATTTTATTATTTAGAATTAGGTTTTTTTACTAGGATTTTAAATAGGTTAGAATTTTTAGTCTCTTAGGTTTCCTAGTTTCCTATTCTCTTAGGTTTCTTAATTTGTGTTGATTTAAGTTTTCTAGTTTATTTTGGAATCATTTTTCCTACAAGTATTAGGTTTAGTTTATTATAAATAAGCCTGCAAGCATATATAATTCATTCATTTAATAATATTTTTAAGAGTTTTTCTTCTATCTTCCTTGTGGATTCAAGGGTGTTCTTGTGGATTCAAAAATTCTCGTCTGCTAGAACGATATCTAGTCTCGTGTGATTTATTGCGTTGCGTCAAGTAGTATTAGAGCATGGATTCGCCCAGCTCGATGACACAAAACAATAGAGAACACACAATCTCTATTGACGTTGATCGTAGGGTGGAAGCCATATGGGATACAATTGAGGAATATCGGCTAGAGGTGTACGAACGTCACAATGAAATTTGTAATCTACTTGTCGATTTGGGACTAATCGTCAACCAAAGGCAACCAATGGTTGACAGCAATTGCGCCGAAGGATTCACCTGAGGCCAACCTATTAGCTTACGTTATTTTCACAAATTTCATATTTTAACGGTTCAAGTAAGTTTCAAAAAGAAGATTTTCTTGATTGGTTGCTTGATCTTGAAAATTTCTTTGAATTCATGAAGATTCCTCATGAAAAGAAGGTTATATTCGCATCCTACAAACTTGATAAAATTGCATTGAAGTGGTGGAATGGATTACAAGATTATCGAGTTTGCAAAGGTAAAGACAAAATTCATTCATGGTTAGGAATTTCAGGAGTTTACTACTGACGAGTTGCCAGATGAACTTCCACTTATAAGGAACATTCAACATCATATTGATTTCATACCAGGAGCAAGTATGCCAAACCTACCACACTATAGAATAAGTCCAAAAGAGAGTGAGATCATGCGGGAGAAAGTCAAAGAATTGCTACGAAAGGGACTTATTCGTGAAAGCCTAAGTCTATGTGCTGTTCCGGCATTATTAACGCCAAAGAAAGATAGAAGTTGGCGAATGTGTGTAGACAGCCGAGCCATCAACAAGATTACCATCAAGTATAGATTTCCCATTTCCCGACTAAATGATATGTTGGATATGCTGGAAGGATCAAAGTGGTTTTCAAAGATCAATCTACGAAGTGGGTACCATCAAATTCGAATCCGTCTTGGGGATGAATGGAAAACAGCATTCAAGACTAAGGATGGTTTGTATGAATGGTTGGTTATGCCATTCGGCCTTTCTAATGCTCCCAGCACCTTCATGCAAGTTATGCATCAGGTATTACGACCTTTCACTGGGAAATTTGTCATGGTTTATTTTCATGACATATTAATCTACAGTAAATCAGAAGAGGACCGTATGGCCCATTTACGAGAGGTGTTGACAGCACTAGAAGTAAGCAAGTTGTACATTAACCTTAAGAAGTGCAGTTTCCTCACAAGTAGTTTGTTGTTCTTGGGTTATGCGGTTAGTTCAGATAAAATTCATGTGGATCAAGAGAAGGTTCGAGCCATCCAAGAGTGGCCAACACCCAAGGCTGTTAGTGATGTTCAGAGTTTCTATGGGTTAGCTACATTTTATAGGCATTTCATTCGAAGTTTCAGTACTATTGTGGCACCAATAACAGAGTGCATGAAGAAAGAAAAATTCATGTGGGATGATGATGCAGAAGAAAGCTTTTTGTTGATCAAAGAGAAGTTGTGCACTGCACCAGTGCTAGCTTTGCCCAGTTTTGAAAAGATTTTTGAGGTAGAGTGTGATGCCAGTGGTGTGGGCATTGAGGCTGTCCTATCTTAACAACACAAACCAATGGCCTTTTTCAGTGAAAAATTAAGTGAAGCTCAGCAAAAGTGGAGCACTTATGACCAAGAATTTTATGCGGTGGTTTGAACTTTGAAGCATTGGGAACATTACCTGATACAGAGAGAGTTTGTGTTATATACTGATCATCAAGCCTTAAAGTTTATCAACAGCCAGAAGCACCTGGATAACATGCATGTAAGATGGTCTACTTTTCTTCAGAAATTTCCTTTTACTATTCGCCACAAATCAAAGGTTTTAAATCGAGTTGCGGATGCCTTGAATCGACAGGCTAGTTTATTAGTCACGTTGACACATGAGATTGTGGGGTTTGAGTTCCTGAAAGAACTTTATCTTGATGATGATGACTTCAAGGAGATATGGGCAAAGTGTATTCAAAGGCAACCAGTCACTGATTTCTACATCACTGATGCCTATCTATTTCGAGAAAATCGCTTATGCATTCCCCGTAGCTCTTTGCGAGAGAACTAATTTGGGATCTCCATGGTAGTGGCTTAAGTGGACATTTGGGCAGGGACAAGACTATCGCAAGTATGGAAGAACGATATTTCTAGCCTCAGTTGAAGCGAGATGTTGGCAATTTTGTGAGGAAGTGCTACATTTGTCAAGTATCCAAAGGGCAGTCTCAGAATACTGGCCTCTATATGCCTCTAATGCCTATCTATTTCGAGGAAATCGCTTATGTATTCCCCGTAGCTCTTTGCGAGAGAACTAATTCAGGATCTCCATGGTAGTGGCTTAAGTGGACATTTGGGCAGGGACAAGACTATCGTAAGTATGGAAGAACGATATTTCTAGCCTCAGTTGAAGCGAGATGTTGGCAATTTTGTGAGGAAGTGCTACATTTGTCAAGTATCCAAAGGGCAGTCTCAGAATACTGGCCTCTTTATGCCTCTACCTGTTCCTAACAGCATTTGGAAAGACTTGTCGATGGAGTTTGTGTTGGGACTCCCTCGTACCCAACGTGGAGTTGATTCTATGTTCGTAGTGGTTGACAGGTTTTCAAAGATGGCGCATTTTATTCCTTGTCTAAAGACTTCAGACGCCTCTCATGTGGCTCGATTATTCTTTCGAGAAGTAGTTCGTTTGCATGGAGTCCCTCAATCCATTACCTAAGATCATGATGTTAAGTTCCTTAGCCACTTCTGGGTGACTTTGTGGAAGATATTTAATACAGCCTTGAATCGTAGTTCAACCGCGCATCCTCAAACAGATGGTCAAACAAAGGTGACTTATAGGACTTTGGGCAATTTGGTTCGCTGGAGACAAACCAAAGCAATGGGATCTTGCTTTGCCTCAAGTAGAATTCGCATATAATAGCGCAATTCACAATGCCACAGGAAAGTCACCATTCTCTTTGGTGTATGTTACGCCTCCAAAACATGCAGTTGATTTGCTCCGTTTGCCTCGGGGTCCAGGAGTGAGTACTGCCGCCGAAACCATGGCCAAACAAGCCCAAGCAGTACAAGAAGAAGTACGACAAAAGCTGGAGGAAACAAATACCAAATATAAGGCAGCCGCAGACAACCATCGGTGCTCCAAACTGTTTAAGGAAGGAGATTCAGTAATGGTGTTTTTGCGCAAAGATAGATTTCCAGTCGGCATATACAACAAA